AAAGTTATATACATCATTAACGTCCATGGTGATGATGTATATAACTTTTCTGATTTTTGAAAAATATGCTTTAAATCCGCGCATTTTTATATGTTTCTTGATCGATAATAGAATTCCACCACATTGGAGCTTCAGCTGCTCGAGATGGCATAAGCTGTTTCCTCAGTGGGTTCATTTTGAAGCTCTGAACTTACCCAATTCAAAATAATAACTTACAACAAACGCATGTTAAATTTTGAAGACTTACAGTCAAATTTAGAAAAAAATTTGTCTGAAAATTAGTTTTTGTCCCAAATTTTTTGTCAAAATTCTTCAAAATTGGTCATGTTTAGGCTCATTTTGAAGCTCTCAACCTCTCAAACGCAAATTTTTCAGTTTCAAAATTTTTCAGGGAAGGATACGAGGAGCTATTGGCCACTTATGACCTAAATGGGCACTTTGCTTATCCCCAATTCGTCACGTGTTGCGGATTCTTTTTCATCTATTTTATTGAGGAATTCACGACGTTTGTGAGTGAATTCAGAAGACGTGACGTCTTCTAAAAAAATTTTTTTAGGTTTTTGGAAATGGCCAGCAACCGGGCCATGGTCATTCGCACTCCATGAGCCCCAGAGGACAAAAAGTTGGAAAAAAAAAATTGAGTGGGGGCTCATTTTGAAGCTCTCAACGTCGCAAATTCAAATTTCAAAGTTTCCCGTCGAAAAACTCACAAACAAAGGCACAATTCCAATGACGGCGGTGACCACGAACATGGCAAATGCCAGAATATACTGTAGAACGGACGCCGAAACCATTTCTGTGAGAAAATATTGCATTTTTTGGTTTTTTTTAAAGGTTTAAAAGCACAGAGAAGATGAAATAGAGAAAGACATCCGGACAAACAGACAAACAGTCGAAAAAAGATAAATAAAGGGAATTCGGCTAATTTGGGGGACACTTTTCGGGGAATTCTGACCAATCTGTTTTCTGATTTGGTCTATTGGACACAAAACAGATAAAAATGTGTTTTCCATGATATCATTTTCATTCACAAGTTTCCCGGGCAATTTTGAAGCGAAAAAAAAAATTCAAAACAGTTACATTTTTTCAGGTTTTCTGATTTTCGCTTGTAACTCTGTCAATTTTCAAATTCACAATTCGAAACTTACAGTATCGTTTTTGAAACGTTAAGAGCTTCAAAATGAGCCTAATCACGACTAGGCTACGCCCACTTCGATTTTTCAGGCGCGTCGCGGTCGTGCGTCGCGTGTCGAAGAGAAATTTCAAAGTGGGCGGAGCCTAGGCGTGTTTGGGCTCATTTTGATGCTAAGACGCTCACAATTTTCCATAAACTGTTTTTGGTCAGTTTGAACCATCCCAATTTTAGAAATTTTCAAAAGTTCTGAAAAAAGTTTTTTTTGATTTTAAAAAATCTTGAAATTTTTCAAAAAATTGAGTTTTCACAATAAGACACTATTAT